GGAGAGGGGTCTTCTTCGCTGTTGTACTGCTTTTGCCGAAGGGTCCACCGAGAGGCGGTGGGTGATGACCCTTCGGCTGATTCCCGGCATGTCCTCCGGCCCCCATGCAAAGACAGTGGAGTAGGCGCGGAGGGCGTCGGTGATACCGGTCTTTAGATCTTCAGGGAGCTGGGCTCCAATCTTCACGACTCTCTCCGGCTGGGCCGGATCGAGCACAAAGTCTTCTACGTCCTCGGCCGGTTCAGCCCTCGGCCTTCTGTCCTCCTGGTCGACGGCTCCGGTGATGGTGTCAACACGGAATTCCGTCTTGCTTACCTTTTTAGTGACCTGAAGATAGCAGGCGCGGGCGATTTTTTGGTTCCCCCGGCAGTAGCCAATGCCCCCCTCGGCGGGAAACTTGAGGCAGAGATGCCTCATGGAGATGATAGCTTCGAGGTCCTCGAGGGCTGGCCGGCCGAGGATGATGTTGTGAGCGCAGTCAATGTTGACGACGACGAACTCCACTTCGAGCTGGGCTCTATGGAGCCCGTCGCCGAAGATCACCGGGAGGGTTATTACCCCCTCGGAATCAATAGTATCGCCGGTGAAGCCGGCAAGAGGGGTCTTAATGGGCCGAAGGGACCCCCTCTCTAGATGCAGCTCTCTGAAGGTGCTGAGGTACATTACATTGACGGAGCTGCCCGTGTCAATGTAAGTTCGGTGAATAATGGTGTAGTTGATCTCCGTTAGAATTACCAAGGCATCCCTGTGAGGAGAGGCAGTAGGAGGGAGATCTGCGTTGGTGAAGGTGATGGGTTCCTCCCTCAATCGCTTTACCGGGGGCATATGAGTGACTTCCCCTACATAAAGCGATTGAGCCCACTTCTTTCGCTGGCTGGTGGAATCACCCCCTGTGTTGCCACCGGTGATCATGAGGATGTGGCGTTTCTTCTCCTGGTAGTGGGGGTATTCCTCCTCCTCTTCTTCCAAGTTTCCGATCTCCCTCTTCTTGCCGAGGGGGATGGTATTCGGGTTTACCCAAGCGTTTACCTTCGTGTGATGCCCTCGGGGAGGCCCCTGATGAGAAGGTCCCTCCTGCCGAGGGCTCTGGACAAATTGGGACAGGTGCCCCGCCTGTATTAATCTCTCGATGGCCGTCTTCAGCTGATGGCAGTCATCGGTCCTGTGCCCCTGGTGCCGATGGAAGCGACAGTAGGGGAACTGAGGGTTGATAGCGTGTACCTCCGGGGGTGCGCGAGAGTCGCGCTCAACGAGGCCCCTCTCCTCGGCAAAATCGAGGATGATGCTGACGGGGTGCGTCAATGGTGTCCGAGGGCGGTCCAGGAGGATGGGCTGGGCCCAAGTCTTAGGGTTGCTCTTATAACCTCCCCCGGGCTTGGCTTGTCCTTGCCGAGGGCGGTCATCAGAGGGTCCCGAAGTCTTGGGGCGATTTGGAGGAGCCCCCGGCCCTCGGTTATGCTTGTTGTCAGCCCTCGGGGGCTGCTGGTCCGAATGTTGGTGATATTTCTCCACCTCCTCGGCCTCAGCATACCGGTCCCCCCGCTGCAAGGCCCTTATGTAGTCGCGGGGAGGTTCAATAATGAGGCTCCTGGAAAAGTTGCCGGTGCGAAGGACGGTTTGTAGGAGGGCCAGGAGGGTCCCGTCATCAGCACCGTCGACCTTGTCGGCCTCCGTCCTCCAGCGTTCTAGGAAATCCCGAAGGGTCTCGTCCTTCTTTTGGCGTATTGTTAGGAGGTGGGAGAAGTGCTTCCTTGTGCGACGTCTCCCGGTAAATTGTGTCAAGAATCGCTGGGCGAGTTCTTGCCACGAATCAATGTAGCCCTCGGGCAGCCTGTTGAACCATTCGTACGCCGGCCCCTCTAAGGTGGAGAGGAACCAACGACACAAATACTCGTCTGACGCCCCCACCATCATCATGCTGTTTTGGTATTTGCTGTAATGTTCCTGGGGGTCCGTTTTCCCGCTGTAGGGCTGTATGTGTTGCCCTCGGTATTTTTCCGGGATCCGGGCCGCCAATACCCTTGGGGTAAATGGCGTCCGAGTCCGGAGCTGAATGACGGGTTCCCCGGAGCCCTCGGCCACCTTCTTCTGTAATTCCTCCATTTTGGCCATCATGGCCTCGTATTTGAGGTCTGAGTGAGGGGTGGAGGTGGTGGCGTGAGCTTTGTTGGACTCCATCTCGTCGAGCCGGCGTTGGAGGGCCGCAATAATCTCGTCCCGGGGATCCCTCGAGAGGGTCTCCGCCCCCTGCGAACGAACCCGGGCCGAGTGGGCCTGGTTGATTTGGTGCCGGGCATCATCGGCATGAAGGGGTGCCTTGCCTTTGTCCCGAGGGGGACGCTCCTCGTCTGCCCTCGAAACAGATCCCCCGCTTTCCTGGGGCCTTTGGAGTGCTTTCCCCCCGAGGCGGTCTTGGACCCCTCGGCGGTCTGGCCCTCCTCCGAGCCGGTTGAGGGCGGAAGTACGGGGCCTCTCCCTGTTGTCATTATGGCGGTCCCGGGACTGAACTTCCTGGGAGGATGTATCTTGGGCCACCACCCCTTCGTCGTTTCTCACCCGAGGGGTGGGATTTCCGAAGGGGTGTGGCAGAGGGGGAAGTATGATATTTTCCCCGATCTGAGGGTGAGCTGGAGCCAGGGTGCCGAAGGCACCCGGGTTCTGGGTGAGCGTTTGGATGAAGGCGGAGAGCGCCGATTGTACGTCGATGGTGAGAACCGGAGGGCTGACTTGGTCATCGCTCCGGTTTTTCTTCTTGGCCTCGATGCCGAGGCGGGCATCGGGGGCGTTTTGTTGGATCTGAAGGCGTAGGTCGACAGCCGCCTGTTCCAGCCCAGCGAGGACACCGCCCTCGGGAGCCCTGTGAGAGGCTTCGGGGGCGTTGACGTCGCCGAGGGGCAGGTTCTTGTCTTCTACGTTCTTTGAGTTGGCACGTGTTGTCCTCACCATTTTGATAGAGGGCTAGTGTTTGTGTTTGGTCGAGGGGGAGGGTTTCTTACTTGATTGTTCAACCTCTCAACGAGAGCACCAAATGATGGATAGTCTGCCCGGGGGTATATATCCGAAGGGTTATTACGGGGAATAATTTAGAGAGAAGTCAAAGCAGGTAAACGTAGAGAGAGAGAGAGTATTATAAATGTGGAGTGTTTTCAGCGTGTTCCGACTTGGTTACAAATGGGGAAAAGGGGGGGCTATTTATAGTAGCAATAAATGCCGGGCAGGGACACGTGTCAAGCGCTTATTGGCCGAGGGGTCGCCTCAACTGGTTGGCGCTGGCAGCCGCATGTGGCCGCATTTAATGCGGCTGTTGGATGGGACGTCTGTGCAGAGTACGGTGATCTGTACGTATGTGAGGCGGATATCTTGTCGAGTGAGATGCCTTCGGTCATAGAGCAGTAGCCGAAGGCTCCCCCAACCGAGGGCATCTTGGCGCCGAGGGCTCACAGTACCGAGGGCTACTGTTTTCGCCATTTTCTCCCAGTTTCTTAGTTTGCTTGAGAAACCCGTTCTGTGAGAGTTTTAGACCCTTCGGCCAGGGGGCCGGAGGCACCCCTGGCACGTAGTGCGGGCTGCTTGGTACTCTGGGCGCTGTGATTTGGGCCTGTTAGGCCTGTTGGGCCTTCGATGGAGTAGTAGGAGTCTGTGGGCCGGGGGTTCCCGGGCCATATACTCCATCAACATTCATAGCATATGTAGGCATTTTGGAGTAACACCGTTGTACTAGCTCTCAAAAGAAACCGGTTATTCCAAATGTTGTTCCAGTAAGAATTCTATCACGTAGATAACCCAGTATGGCGGACTCACCCCGGCCGAATAGGCTAGGTAAGCCCAAATACCGCTGTTGTCCCCCATCATGTGGAACTCTAAAAAACTGGCAGCATTGTTCCTTGAAAGATTCCACCACATTCTGGCTAAAATTGACAGTAGATTTTTCAAAATTAATTGTCTGACCAGAACAGCCTTCATACTCCTGTAAAATATGTTTGATTGCACAACATTCAGTACTAGTAGCTTTAAAAAATAAAAAGCCATCGTCAACAAACAGAAGATGTGTAACACGTGGTGCTCCTCTACACACCGCTACACCATGTACGTCCGATAGGTACTGTCACCATATCTATTTAGTCTGGTTGCAGAGGGACTAAGTGCTTTAATTCGAGTGGCTGAGCCCCCACATGAGGAAGCGAGGATTTTGAAAGCCTTCGACTATCCTCCCCTTCCCCGTATTTCCTTTGATGAAACACATACAAATCATTCACTTCCATTCCCTCCCCTCCCCTTCGAAACCCTCCAAGCAAACAGGGCAGGTTACCATACTCTTTACAACATCAACAAATTCAAAATAGTTGAAAAGTCCTCTCAGTCACTATTCGGATATTGAAAAGTTCACCCAAAATAGAGTGAAACCCTTCGCTGATGAACATACGAGAATTTCGAAGCAAATAAAAGTCATAAGCACATCAGAAATACCACTAACACAAATTAAACAAACCAAAAACAAAATAAAAGTATAAAGAAACCTAAATAAAGCTCAAAATAAATACTACTTCCGTCCCCCTAATATTGGGACGGAAAAGAGTGGTGTGATTTAAAAAAAAGTAGAATCATGTGGTTGATAATGGTTGATAAAGTGGGAATAAAGTAATAATGAATTAGAACCACACAAATATTACCAAATATGGTGTCTGACAATAATAGGGGGGACATCCAAAAATGAAAAAATTGGACAATTATAGGGGGAGTTTAAAGTAATAAAATGTGTGCTGCCTATATAATATATCATCGATGATATTATGATTTTGTACTTTTTGATTAAGTTATCATTTAAAAATACTAATTATTTCCTAAAATTGAAATGAGAGAGTCTTTTGGAAAGTGAGAATCTTAAAATTTGATGGAAAAAATTACAAAAAAAGGAACATTTATATCATCAATTGTGTTGATTTAATATCATCACTTGACTCACTTTGACTATGTGTAAGCCCATTATTAATTAATACTCGTACAAAAAAGAGGAACATTTGTATTAGCAAACACTTTGAAAATGTAACATCCTTCGTTTTCTTTGTCATGAGATAATCAAATAAACAACCTCCTTACATTTTTATTTATGTAAAAAGCATGTACTTGGTATATAAGAGTTCAAGGCCAACACAATATACAAACATAAATTTCATATATACTCTAGCATAGAGTAATAATAATAAACACATACACATGAAAGAAGAGGAAGGAAAACAAAAAGCATAGCACAAACCAAGCAAAATTAAAAGTAAGAAATATAAATGTGGGTGATCATCAAACAAACAACACAATCATGATTGATGACAATTAACATTATGAGATGCCTATTTTTCCTTCTCCTTTTCCTCTTCCATCTTTGGATGGTGTCCATGGATCTTTTCCTTAATCTTATCGAAGAAGCCTGGTTTGTTGACCGCCGCATCTTGGTGGTGCGCCGCCGCTTCCGGGACTTCCTCGGCCTTATGGCCGCCGCCGGTGAGCTTATTCTTTATATTGCCAAAGAAGCCATGCTTCTTCTCATCCTCCACCTCATCATCCACAATAATCTCCACGGGAATGGAGGTTTCAACTACTACTTCATCTTTTTTCTCTTCTTTTGGCTCACCCAACAACTTCTTCTTGAGTTTGTCCTTCAACCCTTTCTTCTCCTTCTTCTTCTCTCCATTTTCGTCTGTTTCTTCATCACTCTGAAAAACAACTCAATAATTACAATTATATTGAACCCTCTCTTTTCTCCCTTTTTTGTTCATTCATAACATGAGTTAAGCCGGACCAGATTTACTACATTTTATAGAGAAAAGAAGCTAAGAGCTGGTTTGGTAATATCCAAATCGATTGTATTTGTTGATTTTGGTGATATTTATGAAGTTTGGCCTGAAGTGGCTGGATTGACGAATTATGCTGATTTATGAAAAAAAAATTAAAATATATTTTATTATTAAAGTAAAGACAAAATTAGATTAGAAAACAACTAAAATGATCTTCTACAATAACTTCAGCCAATACAGTCAGAAAAGTAACTTCAATCTTACTTTTTCTTATTATTACACAATTCAACGCGCGAAATCAAAAGTTACGTGTTTGGTAAAAAAAAATGATTAATGAGCTTGATAAGCAGAAAAACATGGTCACCAAACTCACTTTTAGTGTAGTAGTTCATGTAATTTTTTACAATGAGAACCTTAAGCCAGAACAAATGTACTATTGCCTTTGCCCCAAATTGTTTTGCAAAGTCAATAGTTTTTTATCAAACAATGTTAAAATTTAATAATCCCTATTGATAATTAGTTCAATTTTAATCATTAAAATTTACATATTCAGAAACTACATTAAAGTTGAGAAATTTTGATTTAGAATTTAATTACAAATTTATACCCTAATTAAGTGAATAAAATGAATTTGTTTGATCCTAAAAAGTCAATTTTGCGACTCAGTTTAGGAAGGAAGGAATACAATTTATCTTTGGTGATGTACATTTTATCCTCTCTGTTTCAAATTGTTTTGCAAAGTCAACATTTTTTGGTCAACCAATAATAAAAGTCAAACCTTCTTATTGATAATTAATTCAAATTTTAATAATTAAAATCTACATATTTAGAAACTACATTAAAATCTCTTTAAAGTTGCAAACTTTGACTTAGAATATAATTAAAAGATGACATCCTAATTAAGCGAATAAAATGAAACTGTTTGACAAAGAAAAGTCAAATTTGCAAATCAATTTGGGACGGAGGTAGTACTGTGTAATACATTAACAAATACTCCCTCCGTCCCATTGGACTTTGCCGACTTACATTTTTTTGTTGTCCCAAAAAACTTTGTCACTTTCTTATTAAAACAATTAATTTGTGATTCTGTGCATTTATCTATCCTCTGCACAAATCTCAACAACACAGTTTTTACTATTCTTATTTCTCACCTAACAAATAAGAATGTATATACGAAGTATGTATCACTTACGGAGCTGCTAGAAGAGCTAGTGGAGCGGTTGAGCTTCTTCACTTCCACGCCATGCTCCGCCGCCGCATGGGGCGGTCCAGTGACACGAACCTTCTCCTCAAACTCACCGGAAACAGCTTCCGCTTCCGCTTGGTGAATGTTCCCTCCCCTCTTGCGTATGAAGTCAAACGCCTCCCGGTTCTTGGCGGTCAACGACTGCTCGCCCATGAAGCAATCATTTCCCCTCTCCATCGACAAATATCTATCGAGTAGGAAAATGAAATTTCAATTTCAATTTCAATCGATCCAAACGAAGCTTAACGATCAGCTGCGCTGCCTGAAGGTAGTGAAGAAAGAAACCTTCTATAGCGCTTTTTATAGCAACGGATGACGACGCGGAACTTACGCTACTAAGATTGTGGGAAAAAGAAGATGCCAAGTGTGTAGCTGACGTCTCCACGTGGCTGTTCATGATTGGATAGGAAAAGTAGTACTTCGGTATTTGTTTATTTGTACTAATTTGGACTCCGATCCTTTGCCGACATAGATTACCTGGCGTGTAGGCCACTTTGTCTATGCATATTTTGGATTTATCAGATTTATCGGTCAATTTTGCACCGAATATGTAACATTTGATTTTACGCGTTAAGTTGTGTAACAAAAGTAAGGTTTGAATTAGTTTTCTGGCTGTATCAGCTGAAGTTACTGTGTAGAAGATCATTTTAGTTATTCAATTTCTTATTTATTTAAATAATTTAAATAATAAATCATATTTTCAATATACATAGTAGTTTTTTACATAAATCAGCAGAGTTGACAAATCCAACCACTACAACCAAAATTTCATAAATTTCAGCAAAATCAGCCGGTTCAACCGATTTTGATAATACCAAACGGGCTCTTAATTTACCACTATATAGATAATTCATCTATAAAAAAGTCAGAGTTGTTTGTATCTCTATATACAAATAATCTTTCTCTATACAAAAGAAGGAGAAGAATAGTTAAGATGATAAAGAAAGAAGAAGAGAAGTTATCGGATGATGGAGTATATGGCTCAGGAACCCCCTGCCCATAGACTCCTACTATTCTAATGGAGGCCCAATAGGCCCAGGAAGCACAGCAAGCCCAAATCACGGTGCCTCAAGTACTAAACAACCCACATGGCACATTAGGAGTGCCTTCGGCCCCCTGGCCGAAGGCTCCAATTCTCACAGGATGGCCAAATCAAGAAAACAAAGTTACTGGGAGAAAACGGCGAAAATCAGTAGCCCTCGGCACCTAGAGCCCTCGGTACTAAGGAGGTCCCCGGTACTCAGAGCCCTCGACTAATCATCTACAGCCGAGGGCACCTTTTCCGACATAATATCCGCTCCACATGCGCAGGAATCACCGTACCAAGTACGACGTCCCATCCAACAGCCGCATTAAATGCGGCCACATGCGATTGCCAGCGCCAACCAGTTGAGGTGACCCCTCGGCCAATGGATGCTTGACACGTGTCCCTATCTGGCATTTATTGCTACTTAAAATAGCACCCCATTTCGCCGTTGTAAACCACGCTCAAAAGCCCTAACTTACATATTCAATACACTTTCTCTCTCTTACTTGCTCTGACTTCTCTCTAGTTACTCCCCGCAGTAACCCCTCTGATAGATACCCCCGGGTACACTTATCCATCATCAGATGATCTTTGTTTAGATGAGTTGTACGGATGAAATGAGATGTCTGGAATGGTATCTAATATAGTGTTTACCTTAGGTTTTTGCAATGGGCAAGTTGATTGGTGAGTGTTGGTGAGTTGAGCTGATCTGGGGTCATATGGACTGATGAGGAAATTGTCTGACTGTCCGAAATACTAACTTATTAATCCTTTTGTATCATCATAATTGTTTCATTTTTCCTTTTCTGTTGATCCTATTAAAATTTTCTCATACTATCTCTGTCTTGAAAAAGTTCGTCGTATTCACTTTTTTTGGTCGATGATGACAAACATTGTACAATGATTTTAATTATTATTTTATATACTACTTATAATTTATAAATTTTATAATTTTATGAACATATTTTGAATAAGGAACATTTTGATATAAATTTCATATTCAAAATAATTTCGTATTAAGAAATATAATTGGTCAAAGTTGATTGTTATTGATCGAGAAAAGTGAATTTGGCGAACCTTTTTAGGATGGAGAGAATATCATATTTCGTAATATTTGTGTGGCTCTAATTCACTCTTATTAAGCATTTAAAACAATATCATAATATTCCAAAATATAGTTTTCATCCTATTAAAATATACTCCGTATAATAAATAATATTTGTTATTTGTATTGTAAATTTATACTCCGTAATATAATGTGGCATGATTTTGATTTTAAAATAGATATATTACATATTTTTTTCTTTTTAAGGTATTAAAATTGCATGTTATGGGTTCAAAACTTTTTAAAAATTAAAAAGATACATTTTTTTTAAAAAACAATCAAAACCGGGATTTTGCGGGTTTCTCGGGGTATTTGGGTCCTGGTCCGGACCAAGTTTTTCCGGGTCAATTAGTGTTTTCGGAGCTTTAACTAACCAAATAAGGTTTTGGTCCATGTTAACCCAGCCCAATCGAGTCAGTTTTTAAAACATAGCTAAAAGTGTTAACAAATCATATTAATAACTGTTTCTGCTCCTTCAGGGAGCAGAAGCAGAAGTTGGAGTGTTTGGGTAAAAGTGGAGAAGTGATTCCGGTGATCTAATTTACTCCTAGAATCATTTTTTTTAGAAGCTGGGGGTGACCAGCTTCTGAAAACTGATTCTGATTCTGATTCTGCTTTAAAAAAGAAGCAGAATCAGAATCGGTTCCAAACACCTCCATAATAATAATTACTTATTTATGTTCCGTGCATCGCACATGTAAGAATCTAATTTATTTAAAAAGCTAAAACAGTTTGTACATACCGACGATTCAAACGTGTAAATAGCATGATCACCCGGCAAAAACGTGTACACCAAGAATAATCATTAATACCGAGTATATTTTATTCTCTAGAGACTCCTTTTTAGTTCGTCTACAATGGTAATTGGTTTGTTTTTAAAATTCATTTTTGGCGATTTTTTTTTTGAGATAGACACTTTAATGTGAAGAAATTAAAGTTAAACAAATACTCCTTCGAACGTCATACGTTGCTATAAAAAGCGCTATAGAAGGTTTCTTTCTTCACTACCTTCAGGCAGCGCAACTGATCGTTAAGCTTCGTTTGGATTGATTGAAATTGAAATTTCATTTTCCTACTCGATATATATTTGTCGATGGAGAGGGGAAATGATAGCTTCATGGGCGAGGAGTCGTTGACCGCCGATAACCGGGAGGCGTTTGACTTCATTAATAAAAAATTTTAACAAACACGTAACTTTTGATTTCGCGCGTTGAATTGTGTAATAATAAGAAAAAGTAAGATTGAAATTAATTTTCTGACTTTATTGACTGAAGTTATTGTAGAAGATCATTTTAGTTGTTTTTTCATCTAATTTTGTCTTTACTTTAATATTAAAATATATTTTAAATATATTTTATTCATAAATCAGAATAATTCATCAATCCAGCCACTTCAGCCCAAACTTCATAAATATCACCAAAATCAACAACTGCAATCGATTTGGATATTACCAAACCGGATCTTAGCTTCTTTTCTCTATAAAATGTAGCACATCTGGTCCGGCTTAACTCATGTTATGAATGAAAAAAAAAGGGAGAAAAGAGATTGGGTTCAATATAATTGTAATGATTGAGTTGTTTTTCAGAGTGATGAAGAAACAGACGAAAATGGAGAGAAGAAGAAAAAGGAGAAGAAAGGGTTGAAGGACAAACTGAAGAAGAAGTTGTTGGGTGAGCCAAAGGAAGAGAAAAAAGATGAAGTAGTAGTTGAAACCTCCATTCCCGTGGAGATTATTGTGGATGATGAGACGGAGGATGGGAAGAAGCGGGACTTCTTTGGCAATATAAAGAATAAGCTCGCCGGCGGCGGCCATAAGGCAGAGGAAGTCCCGGAAGCGGCGGCGCACCACCAAGATGCGACGGTCAACAAACCAGGCTTCTTCGATAAGATTAAGGAAAAGATCCATGGGCACCATCCAAAGAAAGAAGAGGAAAAGGAGAAGGAAAAATAGGCATCCCATAATGTTAATTGACACCAATCATGATTGTGTTGTTTGTTTGATAATCACCCACATTTATATCTCTTGCTTTTAATTTTGCTTGGTTTGTGTTGTGCTTTTTGTTTTCCTTCCTCTTCTTTCATGTGTATGTGTTTATTATTATTACTCTATGCTAGAGTATATATGAAATTTATGTTTGTATTTTGTGTTGGTCTTACATTCTTATATACCAAGTACATGCTTTTTACATAAATAAAAATGCAAGGAGGTTGTTCATTTGATTATCTCATGACAAAGAAAATGAAAGATGTTACATTTCATTTTAATTGATGTAATATAAGTATAGAAATTGATATAAAAGTGTTTGCTAATACAAATGTTTCTCTACAATTAATGCGGTCGACCCCCTCACGTAGGGTTTGAGAATCTCGTCGCCTTCTGTGCACCGTCGTCTTTAGCAAACAAGCGGAAGGGCCATCGCGTCTTCGGTGCTACTTTTGTCTCGCGTGAGGGTGCTTTGGGGTTGGGATAAGACAACAGATCTTCCGCAGCAGTTTTCGTAGGGGAGTTATTGAAAGGTCAGCGAGAGACTATGGCGGAGATGGACGAAATGGTTAGCAAGTGCGATAACATGGTGCTCGGAGGGGATGCGGAAGAACTGGTTCTGGACGAGGAGCTGGACGGCGGAGAGGATTCTCCAATCCGAAGCGCTACCTTCCCGGTTGTTGGCACTATTGTCACAGACAGAATGGTGAAATTCCAGTTCATAACGGTTTTGTATTAACCCTTATTAAATGTGCCGGACTTTTAACATGTGCAACAACAATATCGGCCTATAACCGTTATTAAAAGCCCAATTGAACCGTTATTAAAAAAAACTTTCATAACGGTTCACGAACCCATATTAAAAGTACCGGACTTTTAATAGGTGTTGCAACAATAACGATTCTAAACCGTTATTAAAAGTCCATTATAACCGTTATTAAATCCATATTTTCCACTAGTATGGCTTCTATTTGCACCCTAGAAAAGGAATATCCATCAAGGAGATTGGAGAGAAGAGGTACTTGTTTACTTTTTACCATATTGTTGATATGGAACGAGTTTTAGCAGGTGGGCCGTGGTTGTATGAACAAAATTTGCTAGTATCGAAGGCGCTGAAACCGGGGGACATCCCTCTTCGGATTCCCCTAAATGAGGCTGAATTTTGGGTACAAGTACATAACGTGCCTTATAGTTATATGAATTTAGGGGTGGCTTGGAGGGTTGGTAATTTTATCGGTAAATTTATCAGTTTTGACGAAAGTCAGTTTGCAGACTGTTGGAACTCATACATGAGAATTAGGGTCTGTATGAATGTGGGGAAAGTCCTGAAAGTGGGTACGATGTTGAGGAAAGGCAGGGGTGTAGGCCATAGGGTGGAATTCAAATATGAAAAATTGCATAGCTTTTGTTTTGCATGTGGCATGATTGTTTACGCAGACAGGTTTTGTCCCTTGGCATATGATTGTGAAAACAAAGTTTTGACCAAACCGTTTGGGGTTAGTCTTCGAGCGGGTGGGGGAGGGAAAACTCAATCGATGAGGGGTAACAAATGGCTAGTTATAGAAGGCTCCTTAAGCGGGAGCGGACCGAGCAAGCAGGACAAGCAAGGAGGAATTACTAGTACCAGAGACGAGGGAACTGGGTTAGAGGGGCAACGTGGAACACGTACTGTGGTAGATGCTGGCACACACGAAGTACATAAGAACGAAATAATAGCCATGGAGGGATCTTCAGGGGAGCAGAAGCGTAGAAGAATGTGGGAGGCAGAGGAGCATGAGGATGACGAAAGGGGCAATATGGAATTGGACTTTTCAAAAATGAAGAAGGGGCGGGTCTCAGACACTAGACCCGCCGAGAGATCTGAAGATTTTTGTCAGTTGTTTGAGGATGCAGCTGAATTCCCACTACTTTATTTTCGTTGTTATTTTTTGTTTTGATCATACTATCGTTGTTGTTTTCTGTTTTTCTTATTTCATAAGTCAGACTCTTGCATTAGGTTGGGGTGATGAGGGATCTTTTCTAACCGCGTTAGGCTCATTTAGACCCATCATAGGATCAGCGAGCCATATTGCTTTTTCCAAGGTGATTGGCTCCAAGTCTGGTTCGAGGGTCGGCGGTTGGAAGTTGACCTTATATCTTATTGTTCCCTTGCTGAATGGTTTGATATCTTAAGCCGACTTCTCCCAAAAAATACAAATGTTCCTATTTTTTTGTACGAGTATTAATTAATAATGGGCTTACGCATAGTCAAAGTGAGTCAAATGATAGCGATGATATTATATCAACATAATTGGTGATATAAATGTTCCTTTTTTTGTAATTGTTTCCATGAAATTTTAAGATTCTCGCATTCCAAAAGACTTCTCATTTCAATTTTAGGAAATAATTAATATTTTTAAATGATAACTTAAACATCAAGTATAAAATCACAATATCATCGATGATCTATTATATAGGCAACACACGGTTTATTACTTTGTACTCCTTTCGTCCCCCTATAATTGTCTCATTTTTTCAATTTGGGATGTCCCCCTATTATTGTCACATACCATATTTGGTAACATTTGTGTGGCTCTAATTCATTCTTACTTTATTCACATTTTATCGAGTTTTTTCCGAAATAATGCCAAATAAATAAGTATTTATCGAAATAATGTTGTGTTAAAACTGTTTACGGATATATTATTGGGTCTAACCCGGGTTAGACAAAGTCACCAAACGGTTTGGTGACTTATAAGTCGTCATCCTGGTTAAAGTCGCCAAACCGTTTGGCGACTTTGTCTTTAAAACAGACGGGTCGAGCAGACAGAACAGACAGAACGCAAAAACACCCCCAAAAAACCCTCCAACGATTTTGCGAGCTCCATGCGACGGCTTTGGCAAGTTGGGCTACTCCAGTGACGAAGGGCACATTAAATCCACCTTCTTCAACACTCTTTCCTCCAGGTTTGAAATCTCCATTTGATCTTCTCATATATCAACTTAGGGTTTATGATTGAAAAATTTCAAGAATTGTAAATTAGGAATTGATTTGTTGTTTAATGTGGATATGTATGAGATATTGAATTTTGATGTGGACATTAATTTAATATTTTGGTTTTGTTAAGTATAATGATATTGCATATATGAAATATGTATAAAGTTTGTATATGAAATGTTGAATTATTATGAAATGTGTATACATATAGTCTTGATGTGTATGATATTTTGGTTAAAGTGTATATATGTAATGTTGAATATGAGTGTATAAATAGTGTATACTAATGTGTATTTATCAATTATCTTCATGTATTGTTATTAGAATATGGATTTCTCTAATTTCCCAATAGTGTGTCATTGCGGAGAGAAATTATTTGAGGGAGTCGGGGGTATACACTATGAAGGTGGTAGGAGAATGATGTTTGTCATTTCTCGTGGCGCATGTATGCATGAGATGCTGAAAAAATTATATGTTGCTACACAGATTCCTCCGAGCCATTCTTTGCAAGTGCAGGTCAAATATTCCCTTCACGGGGGGATCATACATGCTTATGCCACTTGATGATGATGAGGAAGCTGTCACGACATTGTGGATGATAGTTCAGATGATGACTATGTCCACAATGGATATATACATTGTAGTTTCTATAGGTGACGTTTCTATAACTCCATCAACAATAAATGCTATTGTATCTAGGCATGGTGTTAATGCAGCGGCCTCCTCAAATGATGTTGTTTTGGACATGGTTGTAGAGGAGGATGGGCGGTATTTGCACAATGGTGCATCCTTTTTGGATGGCCATGAAACTGATGATGATGCTGATGAACACATCAATGATGATGCAATGACAGAATCAGACGAAGATGATATTGATAGTGTAACCGCAACTGCCCCGTCTAGCCACTATACTAGGTTATATGATCTCCCATCCGAGTTTGATGATGCGTGGAGGAGTGGAACAGGTGTGAAAAGGTTTACACTAGACGGTATTGAATATTGACGGCACACACCTGTATGGGAAATATAAGGGTACATTACTCGTGGCTATGGGTAGATGCAAACAACCAACTCTTTCTTGTGACCTTTGGTGTCTGTGAATCAGAGAATGGATACAATTGGCCATGTTTTATGGCATGCGGTAAACAAAAAACCAACTCAGTTGTTTGTCTCTCCTTCTTTTAACTCCCTACTCGCCATTATCAGCCTAGTTCCATGGCTTTGCACTTGACGGTCAGTGTGCTACTAATTACTAAAGTATTTCATGTTCTTTATTTAACATTTTTATTTATTTCAAAATAATTATTATTCATGTTTCACATTTTAGACACGGGCTTTGCAGCGTATACATGAGCGAACGACTGCTATAGTGAGTGATACGCATGACTTGGACACGTACGACCAGGTTCTGACGGGCATTACTTCCTTGTGTTCGGAAGTATTGGGGTGAGTGGACTATGGTCATCTTATACATATGACCTTATTCCTCCGAGCCATTCTTTATGGGGTTGTATATTTTTTCCTTTGTTCCTCTCTTTATTGATAATTAATTTACCCTATTAGATGAAGAGTCATTAGGAAGGAAATAAAAGCCTATCTATAGTTCTATACTACAGATATTCCTTTCTAAATTGGTTACTTAAGAATTTAGATATGAATAATTTCTTCTCTAAAACCCCTTTCGCTAAATTATTGTTTCCATTTGTATTCCTTATATTGCAGATTTGCAGATCACCAAAAAAGTCGAACCATTAGAGGAGGAACCTAGTATCTTTCAATATTGTTACCCTACCAATTGGACCAACTTTAGGGAAGAAATAATCCCTTTCAATACTTTACTTTTAATATAAAATTAATTACATAGAAAACAAGTTCATCTTTCTCGTTGATAATTTCGCATTTCAACACACAATTTATGTGTCCCGGAATTGGTTTTATACAATTTCACTGACTAAAATGATTTACAAACTTACAAAGTGATCATTTAACTCGGGATATAATTTACGGATTTTCTTGTTTGTGGCATTTTTAGCTTGGAAATGAGAAAATTGAACCCGACATCGGCATTGGAGATTTTATTTGATGATTGCAGACACTTCTAAGATCATTTATGAATAAAAGCAAGTCCACCGTACTCGAGAAGGCCATTTGTGAATAAGAAAGTAAAAAAATGAGGGTAGTCACATATGAAGTCGCATACTCGCATGCGCACTATGTGCGTATTTGAGTTTTTGTTGTGTGCACAACATCACTCACATGTCGTGTGCAATGCCATGTGCGTGTTAGGGGTTACTTTTGGGGTCCATCGGAACGGTTTGTCGCGCACCCGGTCATACACACAACCATGAGCACGATAGTTTTCGGCCAAAAACACTCAAACCTGATACTCCCTCTGTCCCGAAATAATTGTCCTGGTTTCCTTTTCCGTCAGTCCCAAAATAATTGTCTCCTTTCCTTATTTGGTAAACAAATCTATACAAAACGGTGTCAAACAGTGCAACACAGTGCCAAACAATGTCGCTACAGTGCCAAACAGTGTCGCTACAGTGCCAAACAGTGTCGCTACAGTGCCAAACAGTGTCGCTACAGTGTGAAGTCAGCTTTGTTTTCTTAATCTGTGTGAAGGTCAAAACAGGACGATTATTTCGGAACGGAGGGAGTATTTTTCTATTTAAACGGGCTTTATGTAACACCCTTACACCCCCATTTTCTTATCCAAATTATTTACTATAAAGAGTAATTTTAGTAATACATTTTCCTAAAATAGTGAAGTTCAAAGTATATTCTTTGTTTATTCCAGAATAGACAAAGTGACATAAGTTACAATGACATCTTCTAACCATGATATAATAGTGTTTGATAATATTAATGTACCTCCTTTTGTATTAATAGTGGCCCCGTTGGTTTAGTTAAACTCAATGTGAGTTGTAATGGGGGTTATATCAAAAAAGAACCAAAACGGATCGATTGTGGTCTTGTTCTGAAGGAACTAGAATCAGTTCAGACCGGTTCCAGTTCATAATGGAAAAACGGGTGCCGGCGGTTGGACCTTTTTACCCACCCATTCCGGTCTAATTTTGAAACCATGTCCGGCCCTATTCGACAGAATTTCATGGCTCACTAAACTGTCTGCGTTTCTTTGTTATGGAGCAGCAGTCAGCCCATGCAATTTTGAACGCGATTTTCACTATGGGTCATCCGTAAACAGTCGCTCTGTGCTTTAGTACAGGGGTAAGACTGCGTACATCCGACCCCCCTTACCCCACCGTAGGTGGGAGCCTTTGCGGCACTGGGGTAAATGAAAAATGAAAATTTGTATCTGGTGCGCTACTAGCAGATTGGCTTTGATATGATTGGGTGTGATTGACCATATATGCACCATGGGCTCCTGATCACCCTAATGTATCCAAAAACATATTATTTTGATTGTTTACAGACATGGAGCAACAAACACTGCATATAGTGCACACGTAAAACTTGTTTATTTACTTATTTTATTTATTTATTTATTTATTTATTTGTGCAATAATATTCTTCATCAAGAGGATACAAAGAGCAATGTATGGCAAGATGTAAACAAGGGTCACTTGTCCATCCAGATGACACACCTTATGCTTTTCCCTTGGAGTAGTAAGTCAAAAGCTGTGTTGATGTCTTCAAAATTCACCTCATGAGTCACGAATGCATCTAGTTGTAACTCCTACACACATAGGAACATGTCCAATATTAGGCCGAGTGCAAACAGTAACAGTACTCAGTAGTGAACGTAATCCCGAGTTTAGTGGAGTCGACCTTAGTTGGAGCAGACTCAAGGGGTCTTAACGTCTGTGTGTTCATTTTTATAACTTTAACATGATCAAATTGTTCGTTAGAGCTTAATGAACTCGTTGCAAACCTGAGTCTAGAAAGTTAAGGAGAAGCTTAAGAAAGAAAGTAGTATTGTATGAAAAAATTGCGGAGGTTTGGCTCGCTCAAGCTGCGGAGTATTGGAAACAAGCTATAGCGCTTGATTCCTGAAATTCAACTCCTAGACGAGTCGCAACAGAGGTACTCATTGATGTACAAGGATGAGACTAAGTTGCATGTGCGAAACGTTTCCTGAATGTTCATCATGTGTGACATATATTCCTAATTCCCCATGGCGGGAAGGCCTTTCTAAAGGTCTCTTTCTAAAGCTCCAGAGTGAGCCCCCTTGGTGATCCTCTACTTCGCTATTATGTTATGTACCGAGCTTGTTCCCTTGATGTTTGTTTGTGTTATGCTATGCATGGTGGAAGTCGAGGCTGGGGGTGGCAGCCCAGGCTGAGCCCTGGGAGGCCAAGGCCGAGGGTCGGCTCTCGAGGCCCAAGACAAAATCATTAGGCCCAACTTGACTATGTCTGGTCCAGGGACATAGGGACATTATGAACCGCAGTCTAAGCTTAATGACCGCAGGCCTAGGAATCGAAGTCCATATACTAATAAAATTCGCAGTTTTATTCTATTAAACCATGGAGAGTTTTATTCTATTTACTTATTCTAAAGAAGAGTTTTCTTGAATTACCCCATCTTTGTAACGCTTAGCAAGGATGGGTATATCAGATTTGGGTTTGAGACCACCAAAAAGAGACCCCATGAGGGTTTTGCCACTGTGAAGAACATCAAAAGATTTAAAGCACAACTCTGCCCCAGGCTTATCAACTCCTACTACCACTGTCTTCCCCCAACCCTGCAATTTCATTTAAACGCCACGGAAATTGGAGTCAGATTTTACAATACACAAGTTATGCTTACAAGACATCTTAGCGGATGACCTTTCGGCAGCAGGCATATGCTTCCTGGACTAATGATGCCATGCCCACACATTCAAAGCAATAGTCTGCACCACCCTCAGTCATCTCCAATATCACCTGCTCGTCAAAACAAAAGTTTCAGAATTACTGATTTTTCTCCAATGCGACTTCAACAAGAGATTCTTTTCAATATATATTTTTATAATACATTCACATATTATGCTTTAGTGCAGGAGTAAGGCTGCGTATATCCGACCCCACCGTAGGTGGGAGCCTTAGGAGCACTAGGGTAATGTTGTTGTTGTTGTTTTGTTGTTGTATTCACATACTACAAACTATACCTGGCTAATGGGTTTATTCCCACAAGTCGAAGAATCTACAAAATCAGTAACCCCAAATGTTTTACCTGCAAGAGGGAATCGATATTAGATTCATGATGTGACCACACTAAAATAGAATTTGAACAAGATGAAAGAAAGATGGAAAGAAAATGTCTTGACGAACCAATTTTGAATTTATCTGGATTTATATCAACGCCTATAACTCTTGTGGCACCACAAATCCTAGCTCCCTCTGCAACCTGCAAATCAAGCACCTCAATGAAGTGACACGGAAAAAAAGAAGTGACCAAAGCAAAGCAGGAGTACCGCTAATCCAATTGCTCCCAACCCAAAGATAACAACAGTTGATCCTGGTTCCACATTTGCTGTTCTTATAGCAGCACCTAATCCTGTCAAAAAAGTGCAGAAAAAGTTGCACATTGCAATTCAGCTCCCAAAGCATCATAATGTACTTGTTTTCTTTCAACAACAAAAAACAGTGGAGCATACCTGTTGACACTCCACAGCTAAGCAGGCATGCCCGGTTTGCTGGGATGCTAGGATCAATTTTTGTGACATTAGCAATGTCAATAACAGTGTACTCACTGAAACTTGATACAAACAGGAAATGGTGTAAAGTCTCTCCTTTGAGGTCAGTAAACCGGCTTGCTTCATCTCTATGTAGAAAAGGAGAGATGCTCATTGGAAATTTTGTACAAAGATTGCTTTTCTTGGATTTGCAGTCCACACATTCTGCACAGTCTGCTAGAAATATTGGAATTACTGAATCTCCTTCCATTAACTCCTTCACATCTTCTCCCACACTCTCTACCACCCTGAGATTAGTACACATTGAGTTACTAGAAAGCAAAACCGCAAATGAAGCTGTAAATGCTCTATAGTGACTAATATGAATAATTGAATATTCCATAGATAACCATTGAATAATAAAGAGTTTAGCACTATGACATGCCAAACTACCAGAAGAATCACAAGTGTGGGTCATTTAAGATGCAGATAAAAACATAGGATGAACTGGAATTACCCAAACGCTTCATGACCCAAGATTCTTGGAAAAATTCCTGGATATTGCTTGAGTCAGAAATCAGAAACAAAAACAAAAAGAAAAAAACCAAATCGTATTAGAGAGCTGCTTTTAAAAGACATAGTATAAACATTGAAGTTATGAAAAATGCATGACGAGAGCAAAATAAGGGACACAAATATGACTTTTAGTACACAGTGACCATTGTGGTATTTTTTCAGTTGCTATAGTGACCATAGTAATGCTCAATTTTACGCTGCTGGTGTTTTTAGCAGTGGCAATAGTGACCATGTAGTCATAGTTTTGCCCATGACTCCAATTTTAGTAATATTAAAGGGAAAACCCCATAAAAATTAGCAATAAAATTACTTGCAGTTTCCAGAAGGTAACATCGCTATGACAGAGAGAAGTGCATATAATCTTGACGCGAACTTCGTGGGATTTGGGAGGAGCCACAATCACCTCCTCTATCACCAGTGGCTCCCCAGCTTTCCTTACCACTGCAGCTACACCATATTCAGTGAAACCATAGACTTATGAGTGCATGCATGACTATATCAGTCACACGGTAGCTAATGCCATTAAAAACATAAAACTTACCTCTGCAACGAATTGGCTTTCCAGCCGTTGTCCCATTTAGTGCTAGTTTCTCACCTTTTGAATCCATGTCAAGAACTTAATACGACGCGCACAGGCAGACAAACACTTGTCTCTCCGACCTGTAGAAGAAATTCTATTTAGTTTGAGGCTGATCAGAGAAGCTCTTTTGTTATCCCATTATTACATCTCAACTTGATAGTAAGAGTGTGTGTGATCCAGGAACCTATACCCAATTTTTTATTCTTTAGCTACACTAAAAGTTTAACTAAAGGTGAAGATATAGAGAAAATTAGAAAAAGAAGCTGAATCTAAAAAGAAAGCATGCTGCTTTGTTCCATTAGTAATAAGATCAACTTAAAATACTCACACACAGGAAGATAGAATTGCTAGTGTGCATGAAATATTGATTTGAGGTAGAAAGAAAATTGCTTTGATCAAGTTTTTATTTTATTTTTAGTTTGTTACCAACATCACTAAGTCATACACACAACCAGTCTTGTTTGTATATCTGGTAACTATTGTACCTCTGGTAATTATGTAAAGAGTCATTACTACAATCTACATAGTTTTAAGAAATAATTCCCCAAATAAGAATAAAATACGGGGAAAATGCAAAAATAGGAGTAAGTTTTCAAAATTCCTAAAATAGGAGTGTTTTTTTCAGCTTAGACAATAATACCCCTGCAGGGCTTTAAGCCAGCCACCACTGCCGCCAGCTGCCAGAGCTCCACCGCCGCCGTCAGAAAATCCACCGCCTCCAGAATCTGCTGCTGCCAGCGAATATTTGAAGATTAAATCGGCCACCATCCCGCCACCGCCCGCCACCAGACAGACCCAGTATGCAAGGGAACTAGGGGGCAATTAATTATATTATTATTTAGGTTAGAGGTATTAGGGGTAGAAAATTAATTTGTAGTCCTATTTAGGAAATGATTAGGATGAACTCCTATTTAGGGAAAATGAGTATGTTTTACTCCTATTGAAAAATATGCATTACATTGACAATGAATATGAATATTGTATTTTAAATATTGGAGTACTACGAAATTTTCTCTGAAATGGAAATTTTATGGATGTAGAGAATGCATAACCATATATTTACTGGTTAATTTGAAGGTTTCTGAACTAAAGTTACCTGGGTCACGCCCACCCGAAATCTGTAGAATCCTCAGATTTTATGTGTGAAACTTATCCTCTCCTTACAATTTTACCGTCCGGTCTTAAGATTCACGATTAGATTTAAAACATTTACTTATGATAAAGTTAATCTTCTATGGAAATACATATATTAGTATTAATAAAGTAAAATTTATTTAGAAACTAAGCATTGAATAACAAAAAACGAATCTGAATATCATAAAAATTTATGATATAAAAAGTAAGAGACTAAAAGATAAAAAATAAGCTGACTTGGAGAATAGTCTGATAGAATCTAAAATTCAGACCAATGAAGTATATGAATACATCTTTTTCAGTAATTGAGTGTCAGATTATGCCCACAGACCAGGGTCTCATCATCATTATCAGCACCTACTTCCAACAAGTTTGGATAAAAAGAAAACCCACTTCCATAAATCAAGACTGAAGGAAACAAAATGCCATGAATATAAAAAAGAAACTATACCATATCTCAACTACTAGGAATTGGATTAGCGGTTGAGAAATCCAAAAGAGCAAAGAAATTTGAAGCTTGAGATTGTGACCCAGAAGTTGTCTTATCTTGGAAATAAAGGAAGAAGTAGTTGTACCTGGAGATGCACTATGCAGTCTTGCTAGCTTTCTTGGCAATGGCTTCATGTGCAGAAAGTTTGGGTTCTTTAAGTGAACGTTTGGCCCGACAATATCACCCAAATGTGCGAACGACACTTGTGGATAATCCCTCCCGTATTTAAATATGGTTTGACCCTTCACGGGTTTTAAGATAGTGGGATTTGTGTGGTGGAGAATTATGCAGAGGAAAGAAAAATGTGTTAGAATGGGTTTGAACCACATATTCTTTACCAAAAAGGGAAAAAGGATGTAAATTTTGGACGGACCGAAAAAGAAAGTATGAAGATAATTCCGGGACGGTGGGAGTATGTCGGGCCATGCTAATACAAGAGCAGTTCGGCCCATCTAGGTGAATGATAAAGCCCAATCGATTACAGATGGAACCAAGGCCCGGTTAAATGAAGAAGCAGTCCAAACGGATAAGATCACTTGAACGTGAGAAGATAGCTACAGGGAGTAGGACTTATAACCGCACGCGAAAGAAAAGGAACGTGGGTGACTTCTCGGTCACTTGGGCTAAGATTAGAGGAAGGGAATTTCAATTTAAATAGGAGGGAAAAGATGAGAAGGGGCACGATCATTCTTGATTACAAACTCACTCACACTCTTGTTTTTGTAAAGAAGATTACTCGCTGTTTTCCTGACATCTTCAATTAAATTCAGCATTTTACTATCAGTTTTTTCATTTATTTCTAAATAAATATCTAGTGCGATTCCCATATCTTTCATCTTATTGTTAGAAGAAATTATCAATTTCTTGCTTAAACAATTTGGCACCGTCTGTGGGAAATTCGCACAAAGAAGAATCAATCATGGCCGGAAGCACAAATCCTTTGCTAGTAGAATTTCATGAACAATTGGAAGTCGTCAAGGAAGAAATCCGGCGTGAAATGTCTCAGCGGATTGCTTTTATCCAGCGAGAAAATGATGTGTTGCGTTCTCAAGTGCAAACGGTGGCGTCCATAGTTTCCAACTCAAGGTTTAGCCGAAGAGGTGACGCCATGATAGCAGGAACAAGGCTGGAATTGGACCCCATTTCAGTCTCGACCGAATCACTCGCCAATACGACAGACTCACTATCTCTTACGTGGGGGTTGTCACCGACCGGCAATCATCAACCCACAGTTATCTCGCAGAATCCCCAAAGGAACATGTTTCACAGTCTATTTCCGGAACCTCAGAGACGACGAGTTCCAGACCGTGTCGATATCCCTCGACATGTCGACATTCCAAGACATGTCGACATCAACAGCCAGAGACAACAAGAACCCTGGAACATGTCGCTCAATACAAGCAGCAGATGGTTGCCATCTCGGTTAGACCAGAGCAGAGGAAGGCTTGTATGTGCAGGGCATTTGGGACGACATTGACAGGACTAGCGTTGACGTAGTTCGTCAATCTGCCGAATGAAGGCATCAACTCGTTCACGGAGTTAGTCAATCTGCTCAATCAGCAATTTGCGAGCAGTCGGGTTCTAGAGAAGCAAACCAACGATCTCTACAGAGTAATCCAAAGGCGGAATGAGTCCTTAAGAGACTATCTCCACCGCTTCAACAAAGATAAGGTCTCAATCCCGAAATGTGACGTCTCTACCATCATTGAAGCATTCAGAAGAGGGTTGTATGAAGATTCGGAGCTGTACCACGAACTGACAAAATACCCTTGACGGTCCTTCGAAGATGTACAAGCAAAGACTTTGGCTTTCATCCGTCTACAAGAAGACTTATGATCCCGTCGAAGACTGATTGAGCACGAAGGGGGGGGGGGGCACAGGAAATCAGAATATCCCATGAGGCATGATTACAAGCATGGAACCCCATATTCGAGACCCGAGGAACAAGTCGTCACGAGATAGATCAGACGACATGATCGAAGTCGTCGGACGGGGGGGGGGGGGGGGGGGGGGGCATGTCGTCCAATTCTAGACGGGTTCTAAAGAGCTGCAATACGGTACCCTTAAAGTTGTTTCATTTTTAGTTTAATATTTTCTTTACATATTGTTGTCACTCATATGACGAGACAAACCAGACGACATGACTGACACCGTCGGACGGGGGATGTCGTCCGATGATAAAACTGACGAGATGATTGAAATCGTCGGACGAGATGATTGAAATCGACTGACTATAGACAGGTCATTCCGATAGATATTTATTCAATTTCATATATGTATTCTTAATTTATTACTACCTCCGTCCCGCTATGATTGTCCCATTTTACCTTATCGGTTCGTCCCACTAAGATTGTCCCATACCGAATTTGGTAACGTTTGTGTGACTCTAAATCATTCTTAGTTTATTCTTATTTTATCAATTCAATGTCAACCACATAAATCACTTTTTATTAATTTGTGTGTCACTCCCTCTTGTCCCGTTGTTAGCGGGACGGAGGGAGTACTTCCCTTTATCTATAAGTGATCACTAACTTAAGCATCGGAGGGCCGTTGGCTTTTAGCCAACGGCCGATGTTAGCAAATTCTTTTCATGCAGGATCAATCAACAATTGACGATGACATAATCCTGACATATGTCAAACAAAGACTTACAACATGTCAAAACACAATTGACGGGGGCTTACAGAATCTCAGGGGAAGAGGTGGGGTTTTCATGTACGCTAAACATGAATATAAACACCATCGATTCTCCACAATGTTTTGGCCAAAACTACATAAGTACACAACATAAGCATGTGCTCTAAGATCATGACAACACAAGCTCCAAAACATAAGGAGACAATACTAACGATAGTGACATAAATCATAAATATTCATGTCGACGATATTACTTAAACCATAAACGAAAAGGTTTTCAAAGTTTTTGCAGGATTTCGATTACGTTCATTCAATCCGAATCATCATCTCTAGCAACGAATGAGGTCCCCTTAGCCAACTGAAGCGTCAACATCAACCTGGACGAAGTTTCGACTCGTCAGCATTGCATGGTTATGATCATTAGCACAAATTCGGAGGGAGGTGATAGGAGATCAACTTTCGTTCTTCATCGCTTTAGTCAAAGAGACATATTAGATAAGAAACTACTTGCACGGAAATTAACGAAGTCCTTTCATCAGACGAGTGACGGGTTGAAGGAAACATGTCGTCAGGAAAGTGACGAGTTGACAAAAGCATCTTGTTACACGAATGACACGATGACATCATGTCTCATCACATAGATGACGAGTTGATGTGTGTGATGATCAAGGATGAGAAGTAGTAACTGTTCTTTCAAATTTCGACAAGTTGCTTATTGACGGCTTGATGTGTGCATCGATACGCTTCAAGTTCTCAAAAGGGGAATTGTTGGAGAAAAGAAAGCAACACACTGACCGGTCAGGAAATGCGACAACTTTACAAGTTTCAATGTGCAGCCTTGATGGGAAGAATTAATAGAGTTAGTTGGCGATTTGAAATTTCAAATTTGCGCCTTCCTACTCTCAGAATTGGGGACAATTGTTGGGCCATGCTAATACGAGCAGTTCAGCCCATCTAGGTGAATGATAAAGCCCAATCGATTACGGATGGAACCAAGGCCCGGTTAAATGAAGAAGTAGTCCAAACGGATAAGATCACTTGAACGTGAGAAGATAGCTACAGGGAGTAGGATTCATAACCGCATGCGGAAGAAAAGGAATGTGGCTGACTTCTCGGTCAGTTGGGCCAAGATTAGAGGAAGGGAATTTCAATTTAAATAGAAGGGAAAATATGAGAAGGGGCACGATCATTATTGATTACAAACTCACTCACATTCTTGTTCTTATAAAGAAGATTACTCACTGTTTTCCTGGCATCTTCAATTAAATTCATCATTTTACTATCAGTTTTTCCATTTATTTCTAGATAAATATCATGTGCGATTCCCATATCTTTCATTTGATTGTTAGAAGAAATTATCAATTTCTTGCTTAAACAAAGTATTAAACATGATGATAATAGGTTATGGGACATTGGGATTTGGGACCCTCAACAACAAAAGACCACTTCATTTTTAAAACTTTTTATGACCTTTACATTTGTTTTTAAATTTTTTATAAAAGATGTATCAATTTTTTATGCTCTCTTGTATGACACCAATATCGCATATACTACATATGAAATTAAAAAAAAAAAATTAATTGCTAGAGTTTTTGGGGCCAAATTTTTCAGTAAGTAGATCTAAGTACTAAAATTAAGATCACAAGGTTGTTTTTACATTTGTTCACTTAGCACATTTTTTGTAAATTAAATCCTTACGATTATTATTATTATAATCAACTTTATTCAAATATTTTTTACGATTAATTATAATTTAAAAATTTAAACATTCCCAATGTAAGTTAAAATAATTTGGAGTTTAATTTTTTTATTATTACTTCAGACCTATTTTTGAAAGAAATCCTTGAAATAGTATAAGTACCGAATAGATTATGGGGGTGTTTGGTAATTGGCCGTTGGCTGTTGGCTGTTGGCTGTTGGCTGGTTGCGTTAGCCGATTGATAACAACGGATTCAGTTAGCTGTTTTGATTAGTTGATGAGGTTAGCTGTTTGTAAAATGGTGTTTGGTTAAATAGTTGTTTATAAATCGGCTGATAACTTGTTAAATGACGTTTAAGGACATCAATTAATTTTTTATTGATATAAATACTACAAATTCTTAACCCGTTTTTTATTTAAAAAAATGTATCCTACTACATAATAATTATTTTATACATTGTCATCTCATGCTTATCAATACAATCTTGAATCTTCTATAGAAAGGAAGTTATGGTTTCATGGTGGTCTTCATTCTTTACTTATTTTCAATTTTTTTATTGGTTGTGCCTTTGAGGTTGACTAACTTGACTCAAATTCTTTTCAATGCTTATCATCTCGTTAAATCATCCTTGTTTCTTAAAAATCAGTAGGCAAACTTGAAGGAGCAGAAAATGTAGGAGAAGACTTCTTTCACACAAATTTTCTCTCTCTAGCTAATAGAAGCCAGATACGGTAAAATACATGGGCAACATAGGAAAGTTGTGAAACAACCGATTGAAAATGCTACAATTGTTGGCGTTTTCATATTTTGACTGTTGGGGCAAAAAGCCAATTGAAAAAGCTAACTAACCAAACACTTTCATTAGCTGGTTGATCTGGTCAAAAAGCCAAAAACAGTCAAATGAGCCAAAAAATGGCTGATAGGCCGTTAACCAAACACCCCCTATAGATACTTGTGGCAATTTACACTAAAACCCCAATCTGCCAGTTGCCAGTTGCCACCGGCAGTGAACGTGGGCGTACCAAGCAATAAATGTTTGTTGCTTGAAAAAAAAATGTAACCAACCATTCCAGCTCACTGGGTGGAAGGTTACCGTGTCCTAGCGGAGGTCTCGGGTTCGAATCCCGCTAGGCACATTTAGGGGAGAGGAGGGAGGTCTTGCTCCCAATGATTCTTCCTACCTTCACGGAGTTGCTCAACGGTTGAGAAGGGAGAGGATGGTAATGAAGGTAGTGGGTTCGTGTTGTGGGAGGAGCAGCCTGAAAGGTGATGTAAGTCCTGCTGGATTCGTCTTTTGGAGCTAGTACTGATGAGGCTGACTGTGATCACATCCGGACTTAACTGTCTAGGGGCTTTGGAGGGTAGTTCATAGACTCCAGGATTATGGGAGCGTAAGCCCTGACACCCGGATTATCAAAAAAAAAAAGGAAAAATGTTTGTTAGGATTAACTTTACATTTTCCTTTTCGGGTCGTTACATATTAAACTTTACATTTCCTTAGTTGTCTTATTTGGCAAACAAATCTACACCAAACAGTGCAAAACAGTGTTAAACAGTGTCAAACAGTGTCAAACAGTGTCAAACAATGTATTATACACTAATGTCAAATTTATTTCCTTAATATGTGTGAAGTCAGAGTGTAAAGTTTAATAAGGACCGGAGGGAGTAAAATATTGGCATGTGTGGTAGTGGCTTATCGGCCGATTCTGACTATGTTTGACAGGCATAAGATAATGCCTTCTAGCTTCTGTATGACAATTTTAAAAGCTTCTAAAAGCTTCTAATTAAATGTTTGGTATGACAATTTTAAAAGTTTTTCAAAAATTAAAAGGTCTTTTTTGAGATGCTACAGAGAGTAACATCTGAAAAAAGTCTGTGACCTTTAGTATCAATTAGTCTTAACAGCCTATATACCAAATTGAACTAAATCAAACAGTCAGCTTCTTACCAAACAGCTACCGCCTTTTCTTTTTAAGATCTTTTCAGTCACTAAAAGCTACTCTCTCCGTCCCCTTTTAAATGTCCCGAAAGAGAGTGACACGAGTTTTAAGAAAAGTGGGTTTGTGTGGTTGATAGTAATTGATAAAGTAAGAATAAAGTAAGAATGATTTTGAGCCACGCAAACTTTAGCAAATAAGGTATGAGACAATTAAATAGGGACATCCCAATATAGTAAAACGGAACATTTAAAAGGGGACGGAGGGAGTAACAATTACTCCCTCCGGTCCTTAATGAAGTTTACACTTTGACTTCAAATATATTTAGGAAATAAATTTGACTTTACTCTAGAGTACACTGTTTGACACTGTTTGACATTGTTCGACACTGTTTGACACTGTTTTGCACTGTTTGGTATAAATTTGTTTGCCAAATAAGGCAAATAAGAAAATGTAAAGTTTAATATGAGACGATCCAAAATGGAAATTGTAAAATTAATTAAGAATCGGAGGGAGTATTAAAAAGCTCACAAAAAATCTTCTCAACTAATTGTGTCAAACATACTCTTTGTGCGGTTTGATCTACGTTTTACATAAGTCGTTGTTAGGCCATTTATATATGTTAGGGTATTAGATGTATGTTTCTATTATTTAAAATAGAAAAGGGGCATTTTGATATATTATGTACTCCCTCCGTTTCTGAAACAAGTTCCACATTTTACTTCACACATATTAAGAAAATAAATTTGACTTTACTGTGGAGTGCACTGTTTGGCACTGTTTGAACACTGTTTGGCACTGTTTGAACACTGTTTGACACTGTTTTGATGTAGATAATTTGCCAAATAAGGAAATGTTTGAAAGTGGAACTTAATTTTGAATCTGCACGAAAAGAAAAAGTTGAACTTGTTTCAGAAACGGAGGGGAAGTATTTGAAAAGAGGGTATTCCTATAAAAATTCCCCTCTTCATCTTGACCTCTTTCCTTCCAACATCCCCCTACGTACAACCACCAGGTCCACCAGACACCTCCTCTTCTCTTTCTCACCGAATCTGAAACAAAACTTGTCGACACCACGTCGGCCGGAACAAGTTCAGATCGGAATCCTACGGACGGCGACAACAAGGCTTCCGGTCAGTATACCTATGCGAGCTACAAGTCAGAGACTCCAAGCCCGCATGCCAATCGGTTGCAGGTTGCTCGTGCCATCTTTCAGGTCAACGACGATTCCCAATTCCGGCAAAGCTTCTCCGGCGGCAGTGCAAGTCGAAGGAAGGAAATCAGAAATGGTTCTGTGGCGGCAGCGAAGGTCGAAGGAAGGAAACCGACAAAGCTTCTCCAAAGGACGCCGGACGAATTTTGTCCTAGCGGATGAACTGCAGAAGAATTTTGAGGAAGATAAACGGGTCTGCAGAAGGAAGAAAGGGGACCGGGGAAAGAGGAGGAAAGAAAGAGGGAAAGAAAAAAGAAAAGAAAGGAAAAATAAAAACCGACGTGGCCCATCACGTGTGCGTTGTGTCAAGCCACATATGCTTCACGTATTAGCCATGTCACCGGGTAATCTGTTGACCAGCGGGTTACCTGCAAAAAGGTAGAGATCCAATTTCAAAGTAGGAGGTCATAATTGAAAAAATTTAAAGTACCAAAGTATAATTGACTTTTTATACAAAGTAAGAGAGCCAAATAAAGGAATCTTTATTAAAGATTCTTTTCCATTCTAGTCATAGGAATGTAGAATTTCATAAAACTCCCCGTGTCCCCCACATACATTATTAAAGATTCTTTTCAATTATAGGCATTGCCAACAATTCAATGAATTTTCATTTTTGCTGATTTGGAATGATTTCGTAGGAAGCACGTGTAAAAAATGCGCACAACCTATTCACCCATGGAAAATGCTTATTGTACATGAGTTGTACATAAAATGTACACAAAATCCTCCTAATTGACTGTGTACACAGACAATTCATTTAGAAAAGGGTAGAATTTGATACCCAATTACCTGTGTACACGGCCAATCTTGTGTACTCCAAGGAAGCATGGCTAGGCTGCATGGCCTTCCACCCATAATCTCACCCTCATCCCTCGTATTTGCTCGGATTTCAAATAGAAAAAAAACCCTGCCTATTTCCTACGTCTTCCCTGCTCGGATCTTCTCAAATTCTGGAGCTCCTCACCCAAGGTAGATTTCTTCTTCCCTTCTTCTTCCAGATTATCTTTTTCAAAAATGGAGACCCTCTTCATACCTCCGATTTATTTGATTCTGGCTTCTTGGTTGCGGCACCTTGCCGCACCCCGCAGATGTAGCCAATAATGACAACCCTTCATTTTCCGGCCACCCCACCAGTGTCTTCCTTCTCGTCGGGCAGAGCAACATGGCCGTCCGTGGTAGGCGGAGCCTTGGGGTGATTTGGTTTGGTCCCTTACGACTGAGGATGCGAACCAGATAAATTGGGGGAGATTCTTATCAAATCCATTAAAATCCTTGAAATTATAATTCTCTAGAATCCATGAATTCTACGGAATTCCATTAAAATCCATGGAATTATAATTCTCTAGAATCCATGAATTCTATAGAATTCCATTAAAATCCCATCAATTCTATAATCCTTAAAAATATTTTAAAATCCAAGTTGGACACACCCCTAATAATATAATATGTACGTTAGGAATTTTTGTTAGTTTGAAAATATTTTCCATGATGACACTTTTTTATTTTTAAGGAAAAAGTTAAATAAATCAAGTCCAAAAATGTCTTAATATGTTTCATGTTCACATACACACAAATCTAGACAAATTCATAAATGTCTCAAATGTCTTCTAAAATATCATATTTTATACTATCTCCGTCCCATAATTTACTTCCGCAGTACAAATGTCACACAGATTAAGAAAGTGAATTTTGTGTGGTGGAAGTTTTGCAGAGGAGTGAGAAATGTGTAAGAATTGTTTTGAACCACAAATACTTTGCCAAAAAGGGAAAAAAGTTCTTTTTGGAAAGAACGAAAAGAGAAAATTGAAAGTATTTTCACATTAAAATATTAGGGAGGGAGTTAATGTCTCAAATGAATACACCTCCCTAAATTTTCACTTCAATGGCCAGATGCTTAACCGGTGTTTATTAAACCTTCTCCTTCTGTAGGGTTTTTCATCCTTCTCTCGCCACTAAAAATGACTAAGCTGAGGAAGCTGAATCGCCCAACGGGTCATCGACTGTCCATGCTCAGGTTATTTTCTAACATAAATTCTTCATTTTTGATCAACGGGCTCTGTTCTTTTTCCCTTCCTGAGCAATAAGTTTTCAACCGCTTACAGGACAATGGTGTCGCAGTTAGTCAAGCATGAGCGTATAGAGACCACTGTCGCTAAAGTATTCTCATTTTACTCAACCTCTTCAAAATTCCCGTATCATTTTCAAAAGAGCTTTCTTTAATAGAATTGCATTAGTCAAGTATTATGATTTATTTGTCTTACTGATTACTTACTAAGATTATAGACAATTTTTCCTTTTCGTGTTATTGTTTTAGTGGGAGGGTGGGGTGCTGTCTAACCAGATTGGGTGCAACTAATTGTGCAACCTTAATTCTATTATTCTTATCATCTTATGGCTTATTGTAGGCTAAGGAAGTTCGTAGGCTTGCCGATAATATGGTGCAGCTGGGAAAAGAGGTATGCAATTATGCATGATGAAATAGTGATTGATTCGAAGTGTATTAGGTCATTTGTGACAATTAATGTGTTCGAATGGGGTTAGGACTTAGGAGTGCATTCATTGGTATCTATGCATTTCCATATCCTAGACCACTCATTATATTGATCAGTTTCATGGGATTGAAATGTGAGAATGTCTTTAAAAAATAGGAAGTTGTATTAGGTCATTTGTGACAATTAATGTGTTCGAATGGGGTTAAGGCTTAGGAGTGCATTCATTGGTACCTAAGCATTTCCACATCCTAGACCACTCATTATATTGATCAGTTTCATGGGATTGAAATGTGAGAATGTCTTTAAAAAATAGGAAGTTGTATTAGGTCATTTGTGACAATTAATGTGTTCGAATGGGGTTAGGACTTAGGAGTGCATTCATTGGTACCTAAGCATTTCCACATCCTAGACCACTCATTATATTGATCAGTTTCATGGGATTGAAATGTGAGAATGTCTTTAAAAAATAGGAAGTTGTATTGAGGGGTGACACAATGCACCCTTAACCCAAGTAGTTAAATCGTTACTCAGGTTACAGCTGAGTACAACCGAGCACTCAGGTTACTCGTGCCTGTATTAATTAAATTCGGAAACATAAATGCTCCCTAAAAATACATAACAGTTATTCGTAAATTCCACAATATCCCAGTTTAGCTTTAAATTTTCAGATTTAACCCCCTAAAAATCATTTACTGCCTGTGGAGTAACTCGACGAGTCTACTTTGTCACCAAGTAGAAAATGGAACAAATGAACAATGCGTGTCAAAATACCAATCAGCAAAGCCCTACCCCTAGTAATGAGTACTCGGCGGTTGGATAACATCACCACTTACTAAGAAGTAAGAAACCGTTGTCTAGATTAGGGTACTTAATGGGACTAACACGTTTTTTTTTTCTAATTTGCTTTCTTTTTATGGTCATTTTTAGAACCCGTTCAATGGTATTGGAAGGAAATGAATGATTAGGAAAATAAATTTTTAATGTTTGCATTTACATTAGAAAATAAAATCTAAAAATCAAATTTGGTAATAACTTTTTCTGATTCAACAGTTATTTAGGTTTGTTAGTCTCAATATAATAGATATGCATAGGTAAAATAACTTTTTTGAAGTTCTAACAAATATCTGAAACTGATGTACGGAGTATTTAGTTTGAAACTTTTTTTATTCTTTCAAATTTTATTCCCTTTGAGACCGGCTATCTTTCCGACATCCATACAGACCTTAAAGGGTTTATGGTTTTCCATGATGGGCAATCATCTTCCTATATTATTGGAAAATGTCCATATTTTTAGAGCATGTTTCTTCATTAGGTAGATTACACGAAACTAAATAATGTTTTGAGTACCATCTCACCACGTTCATTAGTTCCTGTCTACTGAAGGATCTAGTCATCTAACAATAAACAATTGCCTCCAGCTCAAATCCATCACAGAAAAATCAGTTGTAGTATTCTTTTTTGAAATACTAATTATTTTCTTATTCACTGTGGCATGTTTGGATCCAAGATAATTCCATGTAAAGAAAATAATCATTTTCTAATTATTTTCTTATTCACTGTGGTATGGTTGACCAGTCAGACTGCACTTTTCGTGAAGAGCCCTAAAAAGCAATGCTTTTAGAGCTTAAGTGAAGTGACCAAAATGCCCAAAAGCTACGCTTTCTCATGCGTTGTCGCTGGGTAAAAGCTAAGGCCCAAATACTCACTCGTTTGCACTTTTGCTATTTTGCGTATTTGGTCGTGCATTTAATAAGTCTTTTCCTCCCAAATTTCTTTATTTTCTCCTACATTTCATTTCCTCCCAAATATCCCCTGTATTTTTGTCTCTATTTTCTTCATCGGTTTCCTTAGCATTTCTGAAGTTCCAAATGGATCCCTAGTGAATGCCAGTATTCCTATTACATAATGTTTACTACCTCCATCATCATCACCCCAGTGCCGCATAGGCTCCCACCTGCCGTGGGGTAAGGGGGTTGGATGTACGCAGTCTTTCCCCTGTACTAAAGCACAAAGAGACTGTTTCCAGACGACTCATAGTGAAAATCACGTCGAAAATTGCATGGACTGACTACTGCTTTGTAAGAAAGAAGCCCAGATAGTTTAGTGAGCCCTTTTGTTTTATTCCATCATATTCCCAAGCCAAAAAAGAGCGAGTCTTTGGCTTCATTGCAAATGATGGAAAATTTCGCCAACTCACAAAATTTCGCCATTGGGCTTTCTTGGTTAATTGTTGTAAACTTTGGCAACTGATTTTAATTAGTGTACTTTTGTGAAGTACACTAATTATGATTGGTGAAAGTTTAACAATATTGACCAATAAAGTCAGAGATGGTGAAGTTTTGTGGGATATAATTTTTTTCATTTGTCACCCTATGTTACAGAGTATATGGAGAAGGGCTTCATTTTTTCTGTGCATACATGTTCCTTAATCCCAAATTCTTCTGGGATTAAGGCTTGGTTGTTGTTGTTGTTGTTGTTGTTGTAGTACATGTTCCATTACCCTGGATTCCGCACTTTGATAAACATATTATCCAATGCTCTTAACTTTCTTTAATGAGATATGGATTATATCATTTCCTCCGTGGAACTATTTTATCCAGCTCAAACTTTGCAGGGTACTCTGTGTGCTGCAAGGCGTGCAGCTGGCTTTGTGCGCGGTGATGATGTTCTTCATAAGTTGTTTACTGAACTGGCATATAGATACAGGTGAAAATATATGGATTTTTTAAACCGCCACTAGCTCTCGTTTTATTTTACTTTATTTTTATTAAGGTTTTGCTGGGGTGCCATAACATCTCCATGGTCGTAACTTGCAGAGAAAGAGCCGGTGGATATACAAGATTGTTAAGAACACGTATTCGAGTTGGTGACGCTGCTCCTATGGCATATATTGAGTGAGTTTTATCTACCGAATTTGTGCTTTGCTCAAGAACCAATTGGCTTTTAGTTTTGATTGAATTTCCCAAGGAAAACAAGACAACGAAAAAATGGATTGCTTACAAGATATGCTATGAATAGGACCTTAATGGAAATTGTTCAGCATTCCTATTAATTTCTACCGTTCGGGATGATAACGAGTTTGCAAGTTGTTTGTTTTATGATTTTAAAAATTTTGATATGTGTATATATATTATATACATATGTTGTATAATAAAGCCAAACTAATTGTATTTTTGTAAACTGTGGATAACAAACTGCATATCACTTCCAGGTTTGCAAATTCGAGTTTTCTAAACATATGTTTACTGAAAAATTGCCACCATCCCAAACCAGTCCTAGTTTTAGCTGACAAATTTCTATTTGACCCTTTATAGGTTCATTGACAGGGAGAATGAACTTAGACAATCAAAACCGCCCACCCCACAACCACCACAAAAACCAGCCATGGATCCATGGACAAAGTCTCGGCTCTGCAGGCAGTTTGCACCCCCTAAAGAGGATAAAAGTTCCGACTCCGAGAATTGAAAAACATTAGTAACATATCGAGTATATGGAAGAATTTCTCTCCTCTGGCAGTTTGTATTGCCAAATCTGTTACTCCCTTCATTCCAACATGTAAGTGGTACACATGCCCTTGCCAGCTTTTTACGAAAATAAAGAGTATTCTTTTTATTTTACAATTGTAATCTTGTTGATGTAAAAAAGATTGGTATGAGTACTGGAAAAGTAACAGATGAAGTTTTAGACAAAATGATTAACTGAAAATGTAGAAAAGAGACGATCTAAAACAGATAATGCTTGTGGAGCTGATGTGGACACGGTTTCAAGTGGTTACAGAAACCGTTACCAGAAGTGGTAGGTCCTGCCTGGTAGGTGGACATGGCTGATTTTGGCTAGGATTGGGGTTTTGGAGGCCCTTTAACGTACAACGTAAATTGGTGAAATTGGTCTGGTTCTAGATAGGACACAATTGTGGTTCTGGATAAAATTTTGATTTTAGATCGTCTCTTCTCGGATTTCTTGGCATATAACAAAATCGTAGCTGGAATTGGTTGATACGGTCTTATTTGGAGGAATGCATTTAAATCGATTCCGAGTTTGAATTAGAAAAGTGGTTTAGTTTGTGTAGAAAATCCCAGCCGTCCCAGTATGAAACTAGCGTCCATATTCAGTTTTGGGTATCGGTTTCGGAGTCAGATACTCAGATCAGGCTGTTGAGCTTTGAACACATTTTATTAAGTATTGTTAGTAAACAATAGGGTGCATTACAATTGGTTTGAGTAGCATTCTGATCGTGATTTTTTCTTTTCTAGCATGGGGGATCATGACTTGATTCCTTCATTTTTTATAAGCCAATTCCAATATTTAGGTAATGTTTTGCTCTTCAATTGCCCGATGGATCATATGACTTAATTCATTCGTTTGTTATAAGCCAATTCCAATATCGGAGTATCGCACAAACTTACTCCCTGCGTCTCAAATTATTTTGATAAACCAATAATAAAAGACAATCCTCGCTATAGTAATTAACTCATTTTTTAATAATTAAAATTTACATATTGAGAAACTACATTAAAATCTCTTCAAAGTTGTAAATTCCAAATTAGAATATATTAAAAATTGACATCCTAATTAAGCAAATAAAATGAAACTGTTTGACCAAGAAAAGTTAATTTTGCAAATCAATATGGAACGGAGGTAGTATAACGTAATTGATGTAGTCATTTTAATTACAAAAACTTTAGACAAGCACAAACTATACAAAGTGATTAGAAAGCATTGTCATGTTTAAAGAAGTTAAAACATGATAATTGTTATTCTTATATAGTGGATACAAACATTGTACTCCCACCGTCCCTCTATATTTGTCTCATTTTTTCCATTTTCTGATGTCCTCATATTATTGTCTTGTACTAATATTTGGTAACATTTGTGTGACTCTAATTAATTCTTACTTTATTCCACTTTATCAATTTATTATCAACCACATAATCTTATTTTTCTTAAAAACCGCACCAATCTCTTCCATCCCAATATTAGGGGGATGGAGGGAGTATTTCTTTTTTGAAACTCTCAAACGTTTTTACTCATATTTTGGAAATTTTCACTTCAAATAATTGATATTGTTTAGTTTTTGCACTAGTACATATCTCACTTTGTATAAATAAAAAAAGGGATAAGGTTCAAATTAGACACTAGTGTTGGACTCGGGTCCGGGCCGGCGGGTCAGAAATGGTGGACCCGGGACCGGCCCGGGTAACCATCGGGTCCGGGCCGGGCCGGGCCCATTATAATATTTTTTTGTTTTCCTCTTCCTAAGTAACACTACAAAAAAACACGCCGTTTGTCACGGATTTTTGTCACGGATTCCGGCCGTGACAAATTTGTCACGGGCTTTGTCACGGAATTTTGGGATTTGTCACGAAAATTATTTGTCACGGATTTATCCGTGACAAAATCCGTGACAAAATTTTGTCACGGATTTGGTCCGTGACAAATTTACTCCGGCGACCGGTTTTTTACTCCGGTGAATACTTTTTTGCTTCCGGGCATTTGTCACGGACAGATCCGTGACAAATCCGTGACAAATTTCAAAAAAATTCAATTAATGATTTTCCAGCGGTAACCTTTAATAATACGGTATGAGAAAAGATTTGTCACGGATAAATCCGTGACAAATCCGTGACAAATTTAAAAAAAACTCAATTATTGATTTTCCAGCGGTAACCTTTAATAATGCGGTACAGAAAAAGATTTGTCACGGATAAATCCGTGACAAATCCGTGACAATTTTTTTTATATAACCCAACTCCATCGTCCATTACAATTGCAAGAACAACAATCAGTTTAAAAATTCGTAGATTCGAGTGATGTAGTATCGGTTTAAAGATTGAATGATGTAATCCGTCAGTTCATCATTTTCCGAGTTTATGCTGATAAGGTATGTCATTTTAATTAATTTCCTTTATGCTGATGGGATCCGTGACAAATCCGTGACAAAAAATCATTTGTCACGGATTTTTTGAACTGCCGTCCGTGACAAAATCCGTGACAAACGACGTGTTTTTTTGTAGTGTAACCCCCCTCCCACCCCCAACCCCCAAACCACCCCAAATGGCCCAAAATACCCAGCCCAACCCAAAACTTTAAAAAATATTGCAAAAACAAAAAAAAAAATTGTTTTTGGCCCGAACCGGGCCCGGGCCCGGCTGGGTCGGGCCTTGTTTTGGGTGACCCGAGCCCGGACCGGAAAACCCACGGGCCGGGCCTACCCGGACCGGTCACTGACCGGGCCACCGGGTCGGGCCGGGCCGGAACAGTACCGGTCCCGGACCGGTTCCGGGTCGGGCCACCCGGCCCGAGTCCATACCTATTAGACACTATGGTTTCATCAAAATCTCATATTGGACATTAAGGTTTCAAATGGACCAAATTAGATACTATGGTTTCATATGTATCTCATATTGGACACTAAAGTTTCATAATTCAATATAAGTGAGTGTCCAATTTGATCTTTATCCAATATAAGTGAGTGTCCAAAAACTATGAATTATGAAACTTTAGTGTCCAATATGAGATATATATGAAACCATAGTGTCTAATTTGGTCCATTTGAAACCTTAGTGTCCAATATGAGATTCTGATGAAACCATAGTGTCCAATATGAGATTCTGATGAAACCATAGTATCCAAAAATATTACGGATTAACTTATTTGCGACATACTCCCTCCGTCCCTTAAAACTTTGACATCTTTCCTTTTTGGGATGTCCCAAAAACTTTTGCCACTTTCTCTTTTAATCAATTATTTTGTGGTTTCTGTTATTTCTCTCTCCTCTGCACAAATCTCAACCACACAGTTTTTACTTTATTATTCTCCGTGCCGGTCAACTTTGGCAAAGTTTTAAGAGACGGAGGTAGTATCACATTAATAATTTAATTCAAAGAACAAATAAATTAATCTACCCTAAGTTCCTGACTATATAAATATACCAGAAATAGATAGAGGTAAAAAACAGACTACATAAGATAATGAACAGAGCAACATGAGACAATAGATCGAGAAATTAACATATAGAAAAATGAGAAAACGGACAGTGGGCACACTGTCACGAATCACGTGTTCAGTACGTAGTACTCCAATGTGCTTACTATGGAGCACATTGGTGTGATAAATGATTAAGATCAACTCATCTAAAATATTTAGAGAACCTTGATAATAATTCATTACATCAACGTGCTCTTTAACGAGTATGCTAACACGCCCCATATATTATGTTTTTAAGAAAAAACACCATACATTTGAGTGGATTTGATTTTTGACAAAGCAAACTTCCACTACTAGAAAATTAGGATGATGGCACGCAAATTGGCACGGGTGCCTCCTTAAGCAAACCCTGCTAGACAGTTTTGACACGGATTTGGAACGAAAAACCTCTCCGTGCCATCCCTGGCCTTCCAAACGTTTGGAACACCATCTCAATTTCGGGCCAACATTATGGCACGACATTTGCCACGACATTTGGCACCGTGATGTCCTTCGCAACGACTTTAACGGGATGTAGTTAAATGTTCCGTTTATTTTTTGCACAGTATCGACAGTGCCATGAGTGTCAATTTTGAACGGGATTTGAATACTAGCACGGTGAGTCTGCCAATGTTATTTTTTTGAAAATTTGAATTTTGAATTTTGGCACACATAATTCTTTCCAAAACTTAAAAAACGAGCACATGCCCATTTAGACAATTATTCACAAAATTCTAATACAAAAAAGCACAATAGACAACTAAATTTTCTAAACATTTAAATACCATGAAACAGATTAAATAGGAAGCAAAAAGTAGATATATACAATAACCCAACAATGCTTAGCAAAAGAAATTGGATTACATAACAATAACCCAAAAGTGTTTAGCAAAAAAAATTGGATTTTATAGAATAACCCAAGAGAGTTTAGCAATACAGACTAAATAAAGAAATTACATATCCTGACCATTCATGGCATTTTCAATCCTGGGGGGGGGGGGGGGGGGGGTCGAGTAGTACCATGTCAGGGTTGATGGTTTTCAAATGCTCGACAAGAGCAGAAAAGCTCCCTGATACGGCAGCCAGTTGAGCATCACTCTCCTGCTGCTTCTTTTCTTGATCAAGAATCCGAGCACTTTGGGCCTGCAATTGGCCTTGAATTTCTTCAACCGCTTCTGGTGTAGGAGGGGGAGGACCGTTGTTGATAGATGAAGACTCAAATTCCAGCGTTTTTGCCCGGCAACCTAGCCCAAAACAGTGGCTTCTGTACTTTGGAAAAACTTTCAGAAACAGTTGAGTATTGTTGGAGCCTGTTTGACCTCCGGATTCATATTGTTCTTTCAGCTCAGCATACTTGTTCTGAGAAGAAAAAACATATTATACATGAGAAAACTCCCCAGATAAAATAAGAAAAAAACAGACCAATAAAGGTTTTAAATATTCATATTCACATTATGATTACACTTACAATGACGTCTTAACGTGCGTAGCGGGTCACCCGATTTCGGTACATAACACTTCTTGAAGATCTCAATCGCTAGCGGTTCCTGGTCCAAAGTTTTAGCCTAAGAGAAAATTTGCATGGATAATTCTGGTAATGACATCTTCTTTGAAGTAAAATGAAGAAAATGTGGATACTTCTTCGATTATGTAGGCCTGACAAATTAAAGCTCCCACATGCACTTTGTTTGTAATCTTTTTTTTCAACTCCCTCAAATATCTGTCATATACAATGGGCAAAGAAATGGTTTAAACAAAGACTACATGTTGAAGTGATAATTAAATTATTGGGCTAAAAAAAATTACCCCTCAAATCCATACATCCATCTATAAAACAATGTACCTCCCACTTTGCCTCAAATAATGGAAGGTGCACCATAAGTGTTCCATTGTATAAAAAAAGATGGTGGAAACACCTTTTCTAAATTACAAATGATAGTAGGAACGTTGAGAAGAAGTTCCTTAAGTGTTTTGACATTGAGGACGGATGAACATAGCACTTGAAAAAGTTGACTAACTTCATTAATACACCCCCACACATTTTCGGGAAGCATTTCCTTAAACACTATCGGAAGAAGCCTTTGCATGATTATATGACAATCATGACTTTTCATATTTTTCAAGGATAACTTTTCTAAGTCAACACACCGCCCCAAATTAGACGTGTAACCATCTGGAAATCGTAGCGACGTCATCCACTCTAATATTTTCC